CCTGGCTCTGCGCCTTGCTCCGAGAGAAAAGGTGCAGCGTTTGTGAAGGAGCTCCAGGCTGTGACCCCGTGCCCCTTTTGTGATTTTTAAACAGCACAGAGCTTGAGACCTCACAGGAGTGAGGGCAGAAGGAAACAAACAGATGGATCCACAGTGAGATACTTTTCTCACATACTCTTTTAAGTCTTCCTGTAATATGACCATGTCTGTTAAAACCCAGTCGCCCCCTCCTTCCCAAATATTTAACTGCGTTTTTTATAACTATTATATTTTTATAAAGGTGAATTGTGTGTTTCCTCTTCAGAGTCAGCCCTTGGGTCTCTCTGAGCACTGACTTTGGAGGGATTGGGTGCAACGCAGCCACCGCTTTGCCCCCAGTGATGGGGAGAGCTTTGGATCCGTGCTCCCGGCTGGTTGCTGCAGGGTTCACAGCCTCTAGTTTAGCAGCCATTTATAACCTCCCTCCTCTTCCCCAAGAGGAGGTGTTAGGCCCTTTTATATTTAGTGCTGATAAGTACATGCAAGTTCCTATTAGAAAGTGGTATGAATACACTAACAGTATCTGACTGCCTGAAAGAGGAGAAACTCATGTAAAGAGCTGCGTTGGTGGGCTACCATTTTGTTGTTAGGGAGAGTTCAAAGCAATGCAGCAGTTAGTTGTTTTTATCTGGGTTAGTTCATCAATAAATTCCCAGGACTGGTCACAAAGCCAGCATTTGCATGTGAAGAAAGAAATGTTTCTTCAGATCTATGTTAAAAGGCTTCTGCTGGTCAGATGCTTATATGACTTTTTAAGCATTTGCATTTTTTTCATCAGAATGTGTACCATTTTGTAGAGGTGTTGAGGTTGTCTTTGCACTTCAAGTTTTTCTTAGTTGAGTTATCCATGTCTTCATATGCTTTAGTCAACATTCACAGATTTATAAAGCCGACAGGCTGCTTTTGAAAGTAACAATTGTGGAAGTATCGTACTGCACCGTTTCATGCATGTTCCACTTTGTGTGGAGTTGAACATGGCAAGTCTGGGTATATGTATGCAGCAAAGCTACTGGCTTGGATCTTTCTTTTGTGGAGTATTTTATTTTTTAAGACGACTTGGAGCATTCAGTTGCTTTTTGAAGGACTGGTTCTTCAACCTGTTCTTGAGCTTGTGCCTAGGCTTTCAGTAGATGTCATTGATTTTTGAAACCGGAAGTCTCGAACTTTCTTTCAATAGATGTATATTGTCTACATTATTATTTAAATTATGTGTTTTTCTTTTACAGAGGTTTTTAAGAAGAATCTGATGGTGAGAGTAGGTTAAGAAGACTCAGGATGACGACAACAGTAGCGACAGATTATGACAATATTGAAATCCAACAGCAGTACAGCGATGTCAACAACCGCTGGGATGTCGATGACTGGGACAATGAAAATAGTTCTGCTCGACTGTTTGAACGATCCCGCATCAAGGCCCTAGCTGGTAAGCACTCATCACTTGAGCAAAACTCTGATGCCATATATACGTGATAGTATGGCATACTGTCTGTCTTCAGTGTCTGCGCCTTGTTGGTAAACTAGAGCTGAAATTTTCCTGAGGTCAAGTGCGGTTTGACGGAACAATTTTTGAGATTGTTTTGTCCATTGACATCAGTGGGATGTGATGGTCTCATGTTGCTTTGCAGGATGTGCTCATATCTGGTGTTTTGCAAACACTTGGCTGTTCAAATTTACTATGAAGACTTCTTTGGTGTAAGCACAGGAGAGCAGAGATTTCATCCATGTGGGTTTTTTTTAATTAGGAATTTGTACTGACTCTGTTTCTCACCTCGTCAGTCTCATCAGATATTAACCATTTTGGCTGTGTATTCAAATTGTTTTGATTGGGTTTCTGTCATTGGCAATGATGTTGGTTTCCAGATGTGAAAAAAATCAAAAGGCTAACAAAATTCTGCTTCAAAATATCTTAATTTGGAGGTCTTCACAACATCTCACCTGTCCTGAAATGGAGGAGCGTGGTAGATGGAGATAGTTGTCATTTAATAAATAATGATGAAACTGTAATTTTTTCTGAAGAAGCAGAGCTTCTGAAATACATGCTGTCATCTGCTGAATTACACTGTCATCAGCAGAGAAATGAAATTTGATTGGGTCTTTTTTTGTTGTTGTTTAAAACATTGGATTGTTGTGTATTAAAGGCTGTACATTAACCAAATTTGTTTATGCAGCAAGGAGATTATGTCATGTCCTCTCAGCTCTGAGGCATTGCCCTGCAAAGCAATTTTTATGCGTTCTGTAAATTATTTCCTGGCTCTTATGGTAGCACGCCCACATTTCTGACCTCTGAACAAAACGCTGCAGTAGCGTGGGACATACTGTAAGCATGGAAACCAGCTCAAAATATGCTGAGCTTTCTGCCAGTGAAATTTTAGTTACAAGGACAGTTTTAGACACAACACTTTATAACATGTCGAAGCAGGTTTATTAAATTAACCATATAGAGACAAAGGTATCACCTGTTTCATTTGTGATTCTGATGAGACTGACTCTGAAGCACAGCGTGCCCTTTCTCCTCTCGATGCCGGCCGTGGGAGCACACTAGATGCAGAACACCTTTACATGTCAGACACGAGGCAGGATCAGGTTTGGAGCTGAGCAGCAGGGAAATAAAATAGTTCATGCAGGTGGGCAGAGAGCAGATCGTATAACCCTTAACTGAGGACAATAATGGTATCGACTTAATGGAACTGCTCACAGAAAGGATGTGTGTTAAATTTTGCTATTTTTAGAAGACTTTTAATTACAGCAGTTCTCGTCACAGTGTGCATTTGAAATTACAGGTAAAATGCCTGGCCTGGAACGGGGCTGTGCAAGGTGGGGTCAGAAGCCTGACTGATGCCTATGGTGGTAGATGAGAAGAGTCTTGACTTGGTTTTTTTAATAGTTTGATCATCTTTGAGGAAGAAACTGTATTTCACTCCTGCCACATTAATGGTTGTAGGTTATATTATATTCCTTGGGGGGGAAGTGCTTTTAGTACAAAACTCATTAGCAGTATTTGGGTCCCACGTCCAGCTTTTACTGCAGTTGATTCTTCCACTTAATGGCAAGCGGAGCTCCCCACCCGAGTAATGAATAATAAACATGAAACTCTTACTTCAAAGAGAAGTAATGTAAGGAAAGTACTTAAATTATTTAGATAGCCTAAAACAAATACCAATGTCAAAGCAAATAATTTTGCTGAAGATTTGATTTAGAGGCATATTTAAACATTTTCTAGAGTATGATGTATTTATTTTTTCTTAATAAGCATGACTCATAGTTATTTTAATTTGATACTTTTCTTACCTGTAATTCTCTGCCATTAGTGTTGAGAATACCGTGTGCTGCCTGAACTTGGCTTAGCATAGCGCACTGTTGCAGCACTGCTTGAAAGCCTAATCACGATACACGGGAGAGAGGAACCAAGAGGTGTTTGTATTGCGAATTGACGGTTATAGTTTAAGGCTGAGCTATGGTACTGCTGGCACCGTTCAATGTATATTTTCGGATATGCTGTCTGGTGGGTAATCTTTCCTTGCATCTCCCCAGAAAGGCACTTGCAGGTTTTTTACAGCTGTGGCCAGGAGCTGGGATAGCAATAATCTCTGTCATTGTACTTTTTAAATCGAGACAGGCTCTTTCTGGAAAGGTGTACTCTAATTCAACTGCTTGTCACAAGATCGGACATGATAATCAGCGTGTGAAAGCCCGTGACTGGTAGCGCACACAAAGCCACACTGGATGATACCAGGAAGCTTTTCTGGGCTCTAACACCCATAAGTTTGACCGCCTTTTGCACAGTCACTTTCTCCTGGCTGAATTTCACTGCGCTCTGAAGCAGAAGTAGTTGTGCACCACTTGCAGGGCCCAGATTTACAACACCCTGATTTGACTTAGATGGGCACTGGCTCTTTGCGGGTGCGAGCATCTTCCCCTGTCTCCAAGATTGGCCGTCTTCTGACAACAGCCTTTTTCTTTCCAGAGATCCTCGGTTAGTTGTATCTAAAGACTGCCTGTGGATGTCCGGCTCTTTCAGTATGTCTGCCTTTCATTGAAGTGACAAGATAAATCAAAAAACTGTCAGTGTCTTGCAGTTTATGAAATGCACATGCATCATTCTCTCCTTGTCCTGGTACAAGAGGTTTCGAAATGAACAGACCAGGCACTGGTTCTTTATTCCCTGTCTATGAGATGCAAACTGTTGGCGTTCAAAAGTAGAAGAGCTGTAGGCATTTTACACTGCCTGACTAATGGTTGTATACTCAGTGTGAAACTTTCTATTGGTGCAAGCGTCTTCTATCCACGTTCTTCAACAAATTGTGAAGTGCCTCTTCTGTGAAGCTTCCATCTTGTATTGGTTTTATTTTACTGTAATTCAAATGAAGCTTATTTGCTTTAAGGTGAGGAAAGGTAGAGGGTGAGTAGGCGAGAAGCAAGTTCTGTAGCCAGAGTCTGATACTCTGTTCTAGAAAGAATCGTAATGGCCCCATGTTCCAGCAGGATGTTGAAATATTTAAAGAGCAAAACAGGAGATGGTGGTCAGAGATATACAGGTGGTCTGTATACCGAGACAACTAGAATGCGAAGGATCGTTTCAATTTAAAACAAATCATCTGGGACCTCAGCTTTCAATCAGAATCCAGATTTGAAGGGATATGCAACCAGACTTGTTGCCATTCATGTTGAGCTAACTCACTCTGCTACTGATATGAGAAGAAGGTATCTGATCTCTACTTCATAAAGTAAGATATCCCACTGTAGGAAATCATCTTTCACCTGTCCTTGTTCTCTGTGGTTCTTTGGAAGGTCTTGCTGGAAGACCAGGTAATTCTACCTGCTCTGTAGAGGCCAAAAAGATATCATGTTTGTGCAAAATTCTTCATTCACAAATCCTCAGGTGTTGGATTTCATCTATCAAGGACCATTACCTAACAAGATTTGCTGTGCAGCACCGTAGCACATACAGCTCTTACGAAAGCCTTAGGAAACAGTTCAGTTGTTCAGCAGAATTTTTCACACTTGGTCTGGGACTGCGACATTCAGATGTACCATGCTTGCCATCTCAGGTGCTGTTTTCAGGTAGTATGAGAATTGTCACCTCCAAAACTTTTCCATTTCTTCAGCTAGCTAATTCAATATTAAAAAACGCTTGGCTAAAGTTACTTGCTTTTCTGCTCATTTGTATTTTGCCCTTTTGTCCTCTGGGTTCACCTGAGTGACCAGAAGGTCTGTGACTCAGCTGCCTGGCATATGAATTAAAAATAGTTTCAGAGTTTATGAAATAACAGAGGCATATCTTCTTAGCGCAGGGCAGATGAAGCTGCGTGTTCCTTTTTCAGCTCCAGCTAAGGAACTGTGCACAGGTCAGGACACCTGCTACTGTTGTATGTCACTGCTCGTGAACCTGACGGGAATACGGGGAAGGAGGCTGCGTTCATCGTGCAGCTTTCCGTAGCTGTCCCTAGCGCACAAAGAGAAACGAGGCTTGTGATTCATGCCAGTAACTTAAATTCTCCCAGAAGCAAAACGGGAAAATCACTGACATTGTTACTGAAGTTATACTACTGAAAAAGTTTTCTTTTTAATGTAGCAGAATACCCGTTTCTTAAGGATAAAAAAGAGAGAGAAAACTTGCGATGGGAAAGTGCTGGTTACCATATATGGGGCTAGTTAGCCCTTTTGGCCCTGCTATTTGAACCATTCCCCCCCACGGCTCCAGTCCAAAAAGTCAGCAGAACAACCCCCTGGAAAAGTGAAAAGAAGGATCCCGCTTGTAGTACTCTTCAGGTATCGTGCACCTGCTTGTCCTTGCTGTCTAGCACATCTCTTAAAGCAAAGTTTCTACTGTTTCACTCTGAGTATACAGTAAAAACAGAAAAAAATCTGCATGGTCAGAATGAAGTTTCAGGTCTCAAGTCAATAAAAAAGGACAAAATACAATGATTTAGAGCTTGAGAGAATAAACCAAAAGTTTATTGGCTTTGAAAGCCCATACTGAGAATAATCTCTTGCTGTGCATTTCATGACTATCCAGTACCTGAGCTATCTGGGACTTGGAAATCAGTGCACTAGTTTTAATAACAGTAAGTAGTTGAGGAAAGAGAACTCAGCAGTATATCGATGCTTGTAGGTAAGTTTGAAGGGCATGTGAAGGATTCACTTGACACGAAACAGAAATAAAAACCTTACAGCAGTGAAACTGCAGACGCATCTTCTCAGCAGTGGCGTGACAGTGCTGGTTATTAGTCCGTGTTTTTGTTTAGCAGCCAAAGGCCTGGTGCAGACTTACTCAGGTGAGCATGAAAGGGCTGATTTTGAAAAATCTTACTTTGCTCAAATAAAAGCTGATGGAATTATTTCAACAAAAGCTTTTCCAAATGTTGACCTCACCCAATGCTTTCCTCCTGGATTTTACTTCTGGAACAATTTCTCAGCTGTAAT